TGCTTCTGTTGAATTGGAGCTCAGTGATATTAGTATTTCCCATATTCCCGCCGCCCAAGTGGAGGTTTATCCTATGATTTGACTAAGATGAAATCGGTCGCTTCCATACTTTCTCTGATAGTCACTTGCTTAGTACAACTAGAAGATTGTAGATGCTTGAACCGAGCACCAAGTTATGAATAGCAAGTTCCTGAGCTTCTCAGATGTTATAGATACAGAAGGATCCCGAAGGTGTCTAAATGCGCATTTACGCCCATAACTTCCTATTCTCCCATTCGGATATTTGAGTATGTCGGAGTATACGGAACTGTGCATTAGAATGGCAGCAGCAAGAGCATGCAATCTTTGCTTCTATCCCGCATGGAATAGAAAATTCTGCAGCAAGGGGACTGGAGAAATGCGCTGTGCAAGTGCATGCAGCGTCCAGCCGGCGATATCCATCAGACAGGCAGGAAGGAGATTTATATTGAATGATGTTCGGAGTTTTACCATGACAGATAAAGGGAGTGCTTCGAATTACAAGCGTGGGGCTCTGAAACCATGCGTGCCAATGTTATGGTAGGTACTACAAAGCTTTCATGCAAAGACGGTGCTGTTGGGATGGCTGTCCAAAGATAGTGCTGGGCTTGCGCAACTGCCTTTACAATAGGTAGGCAGCTGCACTCTGGATTCGGACGTGCTCTGACAGCGTGTTCCATCTGCTCGAGGCATGACAAGTTTCAGAGGTGTGATACAAGTTCAATGGGATGTTTCTTCAGGAAGCCCCTTCAGTTTCAGAAAGTATCATCTCACACTAACATAAGCGCAATATTGGTATAGTGCTATTTCGAGTAAATGAGTACGAGAAATGACTGGTGTCGCTGTTGAAATACCGTTATGACCCTTAATTCTTATTGCAAGCGGCTTAGGTCTGGGATACTGAGCCATGGTATAAATGCGAAGTTTGCATAAGAGTATTCTCTCTATGATAATGCCTTGTGGTGTGACTTTAGGGTACGTCGGACCAAGGTATCGGTACACTTCCATCCATCCTAGACGGCCTGATAGTTGATTTAGATATCATGTTTCTGAAACCATGCAAAGGGCTGTTGGCCATATACATTGAAGGCTCTTACATAGGTAGCAACTGTCTTATTATTGAGAAGACTCCCATGCTTCACTACATTCTATTGTGTCATCAACTAGTCACAGTAGGTGTACTCGATGATGATCATCTTCGAAGGCTAATCCCAAAGGACTTCACGAATTACTGTGCAGGCCGCTATATCTGCAGTATACCGGTGGTTCGTCAAAGTGCAGGCTGCACTATAGGGTACATCATATGAAGCGATTGCGTTGCCCAGATACGCCCGACGAATATAGGTTTGCATAATCATTAGGGCATTTTGAACAGGACTGTACTGTGATATAACGATTGATGATGACTGAGCATAGTCTTGCTGGGTAGCGAGTATTCTCATAGTCTCTGCCTAAGATGCGTGCGGCAGCTCACATGTAAATAAAGGGGAGAGGTATCGCCTTGAGTAACTGATTTGGCGAGTTGTGATACATGGCATACTTGAGTATCACTTGTGAGGACACTTGGGTGGCTTTCTAAAGCACCGAGTCTCATTTGTGTGCTGACAAGAGGGAAATCAACAACATATTGATTTCTATCAACTACCTTCTTGGGGGATCCACCATTACTACTATGTAATAGGAGCAGGAAGCGAGCTCCATAGATATTTTCGCGGAAAGTGAGATCTCCTACAGTGACATTGGTTTGCATCATCTGAGAGAAGGTCTGTCTATCATTTCCTTGGTAAGAGATGGGGGTTGTATCGAATAATCTATCGTGCGGGGGCACGGCCAGTCAGAGGTCGCGTAATATAAGCAAATCTTATGGAAGAGGGGAAATACCTCAAGGAACAAGTGGGTGGCTGGAGAATGCCATTGAAAGAGGGATGTTGCATTTGTTCCTAACAATGGCGTCTGATCCTGGCATATTGGCACATGATTCGAGGCTGAACTAGACCAAGATACCCAACCTGCTACCCCAGTAGCGTGGACGAGGTTAGCTGCCTAGGTAGCGTCTTGCACGAGCCAACCATGATTTAGATATTCATAAGCTCGAGGCTCGATTATGGCGGTAAATAAGCGGACTCTCTCGTATGATGAGGGGGGCTGCTGCATTGGAGTGGAGACAAAAACAAGGTGAGGGTCGACAGGCTCATGGATCGACTTGGGACATACGTAAGTAGTACTAGGTACTCGAAAGAGATTTACCACACGATCAAAGGAGCAAGGTACCCACAAGTACATAGCAGCACTAGTAGTCGAGGCAAGCGCTGGAAATTGAGTAAGACCAAAACCGCGATCGGCCAGCCGAAGCTTCGGGCAAATCAGTTCATAGTTATAGTCATCCAGTTTTAGCCTTGGCCAGTGTCGACCCACGCTTTCAAATATCTCTTCGTCAAATGAAAATGAAAGTGCACAGGACCTAGGCCAAGTAATGGAGAAAGTAAGATCGTCCATAGTGGACTCCAACCCAGACAAATGATCCCTGTTCACGTCCGAGTCCCAAAGGAGGGGGATTTTGCGGCGGGGTAACCATGCGGGCCATGATGTTCCCATGTCATATACACACTACAAGGTCTAACGATCAGATGTCTCTATATGTTTCAAGTGTAAAAGAGCACGTGCTTCAAAGTCTGGCTCTGGTTATATTTGCTCATTTGTTACTGGTTCAATAGTAAAAGTGTCGTGGGAGATACCCCCCTAATAAACTCCCTCTGATAAATTGTGTATAGACGGGCAGCACTTGGGTAGTCACACCAAGTGAGACAGTACGTATCCACCACATTGTACTAGAGTAGAACTGCTGGATGCTTGCATGGGGCTATGAGACATCTATCGAACAGGGATACTTACAACTTCGTATTGCTGTGGTGTGGGGGCGATGGAGGGGGGATTCCTTTTTTTATTTCCTTCTTTCCTGCGAACCGTAGATTGTTAGGGCGAAGCCGGCGCGAAGATCAGGGCAGCAGTGAGCTCTCCGAAGAAGGTAGGGCATAGAACGGTCTAAACCGAGTAGATTAGCAATCCGTGATATCTGGTAGGTCCAGACAACAGCCGAAGAAGCAAATCACATTCAGGCAGGCCCTTGAGACCAACTCACGTATGATCAGCCAGCAAAGATGGGCACCGCAGACTACTAGTCTCGTTTCGACAGGTAGATGATCTTGGTCATTCGAATGATCATTCGGTGTAGGAAGCCCTCAGAGAGGTGAAGGAGTACAGTCAATTTCTAATGGAGCTTGCCGCATTCCGTACAGATTGCGATCTTGCATGCGCGTGTGGGACACCGTATCCATGCGATCACTTTCTGCTGAGGCCCGCTGACCGGCAAACCTTACTACTGATCGCCGACATGGAAATGCAGCGGGAAAGGTTTCCAATGCATGGAGTGGTCCCTGGATGTTCATTTGGGGTACGCCACCAGTCCAAGGTTTGGGGGTTAACATGAATGTACCCCCCCAATAATCACCGGGCGGCCTAGGGAAACAAGGAAAGAAGAAGAGATATCGTGCGACCCCCATGAGAATGGCGGCCAATAATTTGATTTCTGGGCGGCTTCTTGACGGACAAGAGCCTATACTCGGTTATGCTGGTTTTCAATTGTGTTGAGGGAAAGCTTATCAAGATTGGTACCTGAACAGTCTAAGCGGCCACAGGAAGTAATGTAAGTTGGGCGTCAATACAATACGGATACCGCCCTTCAGCCCAGTTTTGAAACGCCGTGAAATTTCCCGACATCGGGCGACTGCGGATCTAATCTAAGCGTCCATCATCCCACTTTTCCTGGACAATTGCACACCGGATCATGCTGCGGGGCTCCCATGGTCGGCTCTCGGGGCTCGGAGACTGAGTAGGCAGCCTGGTTTATTGCTTGCTTTCTTTGCTTTTTCAAATCCCATTGAATAAGTCATGGGTATAGCTGGCTGAATATGCTCGGATGAATTGTCACTGGGGGTGATGGTGATGGTAATTGTGGCGTGATCCTCAACTTCTCAGGGTGCAAACGGATCTGGGGCGAGGAAAGGCAAGAAAGGGAGGGGCTACGGTTAGCACTTCGTTTACAAGTTAAAACCACAAGTGGCTCTTCTGGGCCTGATCAAACATCATCTTATCTCCGAGGGAACTGCCATATATGCCTGAGATTTCGACATATGGCGTTTGGATTTTCTTCAGTTATACTACTAATATGTGAAGACTCACCTCCCCTTACAAGATCAACGCTTGAGACACTACCAATCCTCTCTTGGATAACCTGCTTGACCAAGCTTCAGTGTCGTTAATAGTCTACTTGTTATACGTACTTTTACATTGTCAATCGTCAAGAGCCTCGGTGTCCCAGCATCAAACCAATACGTAAAAAAGAGGAGCAGCAACCACGTTTCTCATGTAGCAGGTGGTGGAACCGAGGAGTGCCTATCAAATAGGCCAATGCCGGCCCGCTGTCAGAAGAACCACCACCGGCTACTGCTTTTACTCGGTGGTCTGGAAAAAACCCGTCCTTACGGATCCGCTGCTTCAGAAGGAAAAAAAAAAAAAAAAAAGGGCTCGGCGCTGATACCCTTTTCTTTTTTTACGGTCGTCATACTTTCTGAACATTTTTAATTTTTTTTTAGTCGAATTTACTCTTTTGGTACCTTGATTTTTTTTATTCTATTTTAATTTATTATTATTTTCTTTTCTCTCTTACGGCGCAAAGGTCTCCAGTGTCTACTAAGTTCGAAGCTACTGTCCTTCCCCCCCATTCTGTTTATCCACCGGGGGATATAACTACGACCATCGCTCCCACCATTTGCCGCGGTTCTCTCCCACCTTCGTTCAGAATCCCATCATTATTGCGTCTTCCTCCCATCTTCCTGCTCCCCGAACTCTGAGCACGGAACTTCTACCTCTCCTTTTAATCACACCTTTTTCACCTCTCTTATTCTCCTACTAAGCTTGCATCAATGGAACCTGCGGTACGGAAGCCAGAAGTGAGCTTCCACAGCCAGCGCAGCATGCCCTCCAAGCAGCAGCGAGTGCCCTCGAAGCTCAAGGCCACCCCCAGGGATGAGCTTCACGACCTGCTTTGCGTGGGTTTCGGTCCTGCCTCTTTGGCGATCGCAATTGCCTTGCACGATGCTCTGGACCCTTGTCTGAACAAGTCCGCTCCTGCGCCTGGATCGCAGCCCAAGGTCTGCTTTGTCGAGCGCCAGAAGCAGTTCGCTTGGCACTCGGGCATGTTGGTCCCTGGTTCCAGGATGCAGATCTCCTTCATCAAGGATCTGGCGACCCTTCGTGATCCTCGCAGCAGCTTCACCTTCCTCAACTATTTGCACCAGAAGGATCGTCTGATCCATTTCACGAATTTGGGGACGTTCCTTCCGGCCCGCTTGGAGTTCGAAGACTATATGCGGTGGTGTGCGCAACAGTTCTCTGATGTCGTGTCTTATGGGGAGGAAGTTGTCGATGTGACTCCCGGAAAGACGGACCCTACCAGCTCGGTGGTCGACTTCTTCACCGTCCGCTCTCGCAACGTTGAGACGGGTGAGATCATCGCGAGAAGAGCGCGCAAGGTGGTGACTGCACTTGGTGGCTCAGCAAAGATGCCCCCAGGCCTGCCCCAGGACCCCCGCATTATGCACTCCTCGAAGTACTGCACCAACCTGCCCCACCTGCTTAAGAACCCGAACGAACCCTACAACATTGCCGTGCTTGGAAGTGGCCAGAGTGCTGCTGAGATCTTCCACGACTTGCAAAAGAGATACCCCAACTCGAAGACAACACTAATCATGAGAGATTCGGCTATGCGGCCTAGTGACGACTCTCCTTTGTGAGTATAATACCTTTCGCACTCCCATCATGTCGCGACTAACAGCAAATAATATAGTGTGAACGAGGTCTTCAACCCCGAACGTGTCGACAAGTTCTATAACCTCTCTGCCGAAGAGCGCCAGCGTTCCCTCAAGGCCGACAAGGCCACCAACTACAGTGTGGTCCGCCTTGAACTCATTGAGGAGATTTACCACGACATGTACGTCCAGCGGGTCAAGAACCCCGATGAGAAGCAATGGCAGCACCGCATCCTCCCCGGACGCAAGATCACGCGAGTCGAACACCATGGACCTCAGAGTCGGATGCGGATCCACGTGAGGGCGACCAAGGATGGATCGGACAGCCTTGTCGGCGACGGCAAGGAGACACTGGAGGTGGATGCACTCATGGTGGCGACCGGCTACTACCGCAACGCACATGAACAGCTTTTGAGCAATGTGCAGCATCTGCGACCGGAGGGCCAGGAGGAATGGAAGCCGAGCCGGGATTACCGGGTCGAGATGGATCCCAGCAAGGTCAGCCCCTATGCTGGAATTTGGCTGCAGGGCTGTAACGAGAAGACACACGGACTGAGCGACAGTCTTCTGTCGGTGCTGGCAGCACGCGGTGGAGAGATGGTGGAGTCGATCTTTGGCGAGCAGCTTGCGGGTGCAACGGTGCCGGTCACGAAGTTGCGCGCTATGCTGTAAAGGCTTTACGTCGGATCGGAAACCCAGGAGGGGTTTCCGCTTTCTAGACGCGTGAATGATGGCGCTAGGGCGGACATTTCTTTTTTTTGCAGCAAAAGAATGCCCCGGAAAATGAGCGTGCATATCCCCAAACAAGTTGGTAGGGGGTGATATCTTCTTTTTCGATCATCTACTTGACTGTATCTGTGTTCAATTCTCTGTTTCATTACCTATACTTTGTTACTATTGTTACTGCCCCATCATCTGATTCCCCAAGTACCCCATTGCGAGTTATATAGCCAGCCACATTGGAATTGTATAACGAATAGAGATCGGAATGCATCAAGTCTGTCTTTATTGATTAAATTTCACCGCTCATTGTGTTAAGGGAGAAGGCCATGCGAATTGCGCACGTTGCTTTTTTTTATCTGCTACAGATGTTATTCATTCTCCTCAAACTTTATCCGCCCCCTCTGACATGCGCCTGTAACCGACAGGGGGACGAGAATGAGTGCCTAGGAGGGAAAAGCGAGTGGGCTGGTCGCACAACCGCCGGTCTAGCACGGACCCGCTGACGTCAAGCGACCAGGCTAATTGGCCCTGACCAAATTAACCGCCGCCAGGAATACGCAACAAGGTAAAAAACGGTGTTTCTACACTTGAACAGACACGAGGGAAACAAAGTGAGGGAATAAATCCCAGGAGGAGGGTCCATGGAATTGAACACAATTGTCAATTGGACTCCCGAGCAAGAGAAATTGAAGCGGGTGGGCGTTGCTGACTCGCTGGCTCTCAACCTTGGTTGAGGGTCGGGGAGGGATTCTGATAATCTGATCAGATAAAAATTTTCGCACGTTATCTGATGGCGCCATCCCCCAACCGCATCAGCGCCCATGGCCGAGCCAGGCGCGCTGTTTTTCCGCTGCGGTTCCCGCTCTCTACGCCCATTCGCTGCCAGGGGACCACTTGGGTGGATGAAGAGACCCACTCACTGATTGATTACGATGAGGCACCATGCAGATTGATCCGTGTGGTCTCGTTTTTTTCATATCCACCCACACGCACGCACACACTAACTTACCCTCTCGCTTCGGTATACGGGTTACTCAATTAGTTTGCTTTCTGGCCCCCTTTCCCCGACCATAGCTGCCACCAGCCCTTCTTATGTCTCGGTTCCCGAGGGATTTTCTCGGAGTTAAACCTATACCGGTAGCATTAAAAACGGACCTCTCCGAAACACATCCAACGAGAAACTCCCAGTCGGTTTTGATCGATCAGGTAACAGCTTGATCAGTGATTGATAAATTCTTAGCGGCCCCGCTTTTTCCCTTTCCTTCGTTCCCACAATACCAAGGCCCTAGGGACTTGGAGGTGAGGGAAATAACGAAGACAACAAGGAAAATAATGAAAAATAAGAAGAAAAAAATCATCGTGCTGTTCGGCCCGGCTAGATAAGGAGGCAACTCCGGTGCAATGGTCAGACCATGAGGAACAATTGCTGCCGTAATACTAATCTAGCTAGTAAGTCACTATACACAGTACGTACTTTTCTGTCTGTCTGGGGAGTAGCTAACACTTAACGGGCGGAGAAGAATTTGAAACAGTCAAGGCAAATTCTTAGCCTCCTTTCCTACTCCAGGATTCGTCTTCAAACTCAACTACCTACCTACGTATTTATACACCACGCTCTTTCCTACTTTCTCAAACATTTGAAAGACGATCTGTCGATGAATCTCGTATTGTTGGATAATGCAACAATTGATTTGAACAACCTTTGCTGCTACTGGCGCAGAGAACCTAGCGCAACGCGACTAGACAAGACGAGAGACGAGACTAATCCCTAAGCAGTACACGCGGAACCATGCGACATGGAAACCGGAACGGGCGCCTGGAACAGTCGACTCCCTAGACATGCGCCGATCTCCATTCAGGTCTGGGCCAGTGGCATGTCCACAGTTGTTATTATTACTATAATGGTAATAATAATAGTCGCCATTATTATTCACCTCACTCCGCCAATCGTAAAAATTTGTCAAGGTTGGTAGCCTCCTGTCCCTGACAAGACAGTTATTCGGCTGCAGCCTGCTCAGGAAATCGCAAGCAGGCAGCTGAAATTACTTACTTATACTGGACAGGCAGGCAGACATTGACCAGCTTACCAGCTAGTTAGCACCAAATGTTTAAAATAAGTACTCTCGCCGTTTCCGCGAACTCCGGTGCCTCTTTCCCTTCTCGCCCCACGCGTATATCACGAGAAGGAGAGAAAAACATCCGTAACAGGTCTAGTAGGTTTGTCACAGAATGTCCACCTGAATTGATTAGATAGGACTTCCGAGCTTGGATGCATTTCTAGCTAGTTAGCTAGCTAGATATGAACTTCGGATGTACTTACTACCATGTAGCATGCTTGTGCTGTGTGACCCGATCAGACGGTCCACGCTTGTGGAAAGGCCGGCTATGCCAGGTACCGGCGACCGGTGTTCCATCTTCCAGGGTCCTGTTCTTTTTCCCCCCCCCCCCCCCCATCTAGATACTACTAGTTGTGTCAGGAGGGCGAAGATCGAACGATCTGCAATCCCAGCCTGCACTGCATCCTGCAACCCAACAAAAAAAAAAAAGCACACGAGTTTATCTGGAATATCACCCGTGGGATGTTGAGAGATCAGCAAGGTCGGAAACAATAAATAGAAAAAGGGAAGAGAAAAAAAAGTAAAAGACCCTGATCATCTGATGCATGAATTTAAATTCTACATACTAGGAAGCAGAAAAACTTAATCGTTAATACTACAGACGCATGTTCACCATATAATACGTAACGAACAAAACAACCAACAAAATTGGAGTCAACAATCACTATAGCCTATATACCCCTGCATAAAAGCGAATAAGAAACAAACATCAAACCCATCCTCACCACCTTGCCCTAATCAATCAGCCCAACACCTACCGTTCCATGGATCCATGATTTCTTCATATCATTATCAGATGGAAATAAAAAACATACAGCCCACTTGCCTTGGACGAAGCGGTGGCCTGACCGCTTCAATCAGATAATAATATATAGGATCCGTGATCCATGGATCATATCACATATTAATTCGTAACTTGGTGCCGCTAAGTCTGTTTCTATTCTACTAATTATGTAGTGCCCAGCTTCAGGTCGTGACGAAGAGTGGTCCCGGGGACGATTTGTACCATAATGTACCCAATGAAATTGAAAACTCCGGGATTGCAAGCGTGTGTGTGTGTGTGTGTGTGTGTGTGGAAGCCAGAGAGACCCACCGCACAGGCTTGCGGTTACTTACGAGGGAAGTTAGGTAGGTGGTTGTCTGCCTAGATGGAATTTTTGGACTTGGCTTACATCTAGGTATCGATGTAGATAGATACATACTTGATTAATCTACCTACAGAACAAAAAAGAAAAGGCAGAAGGAAGACATACATTCCACGACTCATAAAACGGCTCTGGGAGTAACAAAAGTCTGAAAGTCAAAAAGGGCACCTACCGTCAAGTACGTCCAGCAAAAAAAATACAATCAAATCAATCAATCAAACCGCTCCTGCCGAGATAAGATCTTAGCGTGACATTTTGACTTTGGGTCTAAGGTTTTAAAGCCACAACCAGACGAATGGAATAGGTTTCAGACCAATCATTCCCATTCCCCTTACTCCAAAGTGAAAAAAGTTTCTCCAAGGTTTAAACACGGAAGAAAAGCGAAGAATACATACATAACATGCATACATGCATGCATACTCTGTAATTTTTATTATTGCGACATCGGCTTTTTCGGCTTCAGAAGCTTGGTTCAGTATGGGGCGCGGGTGTGGAGATTATCATCGTATGTATGAATCTTGTATAGACGCTGTATGTACGTTACTTACTTACGGTTAATTATCCTCATCCTGTTCTCCACTGATTATTATTACCCTTTTGCAGAGGTATGTATCCTTCACTCACTCACTCACTCTCTCTCTCGTTCTCTCTCTCTCTCTCTCTCTCTTTCTCTCATTCTCTCTCTCTCTCTCCCCTTTCCCCCGTCTCACACTTCACTCTTTGTAATTTTATCCACTCCTTAAGTTCTTTAGCTGAATCAATGCAATTGTACTCAGTGCATTGCGCTATTATGGGCTTCAAGTTCCTTGGCTTTCCTTACACCATTCCCTGTCATCTCGAAAAGCACCCTCTAGCTTCATAGCAAGGTGATGATTCCACCCACTTCTTTTTCTCCGGTTGGATAGATTAGCCTGCAATGTACGGTATTGAGTAATCTGCCAGGTTATATTTGGTCTAAAGTAAAAATATCTACTAATATATCATGATCTTTATATGCAGAAGATAATACATGAAGATAATGTGAGGGCATGAAGGGTCAAAACCCCATCCATGACCATCTATTCCAGTCAAACATATCATCAGAAGGAAAGGCTCATCCGGTACTCATTAGATCGCATATAGAAGATCGAAACATCTCCTCGGAAGTTATTGGTCGTCTGAAGGGCATATTGAGAACCCCAAATGGTCAGTCAATCGAAGACACAAGAACGCATCTATGCATTCCGTTCCGGGTCCTCGTCTGCCAGGCTCCGATATCTTCCGCCGCTGTGCATACGTGACGGCATCTCGTACATCTGGTTGTAGTTGATTGCTTCACCACCGAGCATGCCAGATCCCGCCTCCCGCTGTCCAAAGTATGGAGCCGGATCGCACCAGAAGTCCCGGCAGTTGGTGACTACACCTCGAGAGAAGGGATTCTTCGCCCGAGAAGCACGTGGACCATCTCGCAACCCATCCCTTGCTGTCGCAAAGAAGGCATCAATGCCGAGAAGGGAAGTCCACTGCTTCAGACAACCGCCCCTCCGGTGCCGGTGGCCATGGGCAAGAGCTGGATTCGGTCCCTGGCCAGCAGAGGAAAGGCCAGCAGCATCGAGTGAGGTAGTTCCTGCAGCCAGAGCCGAAGCAAAAGCACGAGAGCTTGGGTAGCTTCTGTCAATCGAATGGCCCCTCATGTTTTCGTATGTCGTCTGATTCCGCGAAATTTGGACAAGCTGAACAGCACAGAGCATAGTGACCCAGACCAGCTGAATGATGACCCACACATCAAGGACGAGGGTGAATGTATCACGAAGTACAAAATCACATAGCGCATCGTTAATGACATTACAGGTAGGATTGACGGGTGCTGGCAAGACATTGATGTCTGTTCTAGCCGTTAGTCTTTGATCCGGAGAAGAAGGGGAATTGATACTTACAGGAGTATGTCAGCTGCACGAAAAGAATTATACCCGCTTCAAGACACGTGATGTATAATACAAAATGGCGCAGATTGTTGGCGCCTACGCAGTTATCAATCCACGGGCAGTGGCTATTCAGGATGTCAATGTTTGAGCTTTTAACTCCAGTCTCAATTAGGGTCTTACTGGTCATGTTTTGCAACGCAGCGCCCGCAGCGCTTGCAATGCTTGCTCCGTAAAGGCTTTCGAATCATGCACGCAACGCAGAAGTTCTCTTCGTCGAATTTCCACTGCTCAAAAAGTTCCGCAATAACTGTTCGCTGCTGGTTTCTGCTGCCAAGTTTGGGGACAAACCCAGGATCTTCAATCATCGCGGTGAAATAGAAATATGTTGTCGCTGAGAAGAACAGAGCAAAACAGATATTCGATATGGGATTTGTGGTATATGTGGCTGGCAAAAGTGACTATTAGTAAAGTCTTGGCTGGGGCTTCGCATAATCCCGTTGAAAATCGGATTCGAAACATGTATCCGAAGAGCAGGGAAAGCCTCACCTGGCAGCACGTAGAAGATGTATCTCACACCAACCCAGAACAAAGAGCCTGCAAAAACGCCCGATAGGTAAGGCTGGGTTGCGGATCAGTGACGAACAGAGTGAGGAGATGCAAGGGGTAATCGCTGACGTACCGTCTTTTGCAGTATCCTATACTCTGAAATGCTTTGACTGGCCACTTTCTGGGCCAACCATTGAAGTCCATAAGCTGTTGCGATCATAATAGGGATAGCAGCGAACACAACCAAGTTACTGAGAACCCAGACGGCTACGAAAATCATCAAGAAAGGCCACAAGAAGAAGAACTTAGACATGGTGCTCTTGTTCCGCACCCAAGGCGTCAATCCGAAGGGAAGAACCTTCGTGTTCCCATCGAAGTCATAGCCACACTCGTCCAGAGCACGATACCACACACGCGTGGTATTCATTTCGCCCGCTACCGTCGCTGGGGTCTTACCATCCCTGGTCTTCGCGAACCTATCAGCGCCATATTCAATGAGCTTCTGAACGCAAGGCAACGATCCCTTGACCAGAGCCCAGTGTAAGGGAGTTAAGCCGCTGTCGTCAACGGCATTGGCATTAGCGCCCCAGCGCAGGAATAGGTCCACGCAGGCGGGGAATCCCTTATATGCCGCCCACATCAGCCCTGTATGACCTTGTTGATCGGGAACGTCCACCGGGATCTCCTGGTGAAGTAAAAGCACAAGCAGAAAGGCATTTCCGTCGATAGTAGCTAGGTGTAGGATGTTGTAGCCTTGGACGTCGGTAAGAAGAGGGTCCGCGCCGTGCTGAAGCAAAAGATGCACAATATAATAGTGGCAGCGTTGAGCTGCCCACATCGCGGGTGTAGCGACAGATTCGCCTCCCTTCGCATTGACGTCGGCGCCAGAGTCGAGTAGGAACTTGCACATGGCATATTGGTTGTTGATGGCGGCCCACTAGAAGAGGAAAATAGCGTTGTTAGTTCGGAATCAATACAAAAGACAAGTGCGAAAGACATATTGGTAACACGCACATGTAACGGGGTGATTCCTTCTTCGTCCTTATAGTTGGGGTGAGACTTCTTCTCATCAAACATTTTCTGCATAACTGCGATCTCTCCTATACGGGCAATCTGCATGACATCCTCCCCAATGGGGATTGAGCCCTTGACACCAGCGCGTTCCGGTTTCATGTCTTTAAGTTCAACGGTCGCATCATGCTGGGTCACTTTCGGGGGAGTGGTGGTGCCTTTGCCGCTGGGGAGGGAGTGCGGACTTTGTCCCAAACCAGCAGTGCTGCTGCTGCTCGGAGTCCCGGAAGACATGTCGAAAAGATAACCGGGATTATATCAAAAATTGAGTCCAGCACGCGCGCGACTGTTCCTGGACTAGACAGAGAGGAAGGGGAGACAGAGAATTGCCGCCGCAAAGAAGAACGTAGTCGTTGAAGCGGTCGGCGGTCACGAGTCAGTTGAGTAGTCTTGCGGAGGCCGACTTAGAGGAGCATTGCGAAGTGAACGGGATTTCTTGAAGCCGGTACTGTGGTATCCAGAAAGGCAACGGTGGCCTTCGACGCTGTGATGAAGAAAGAGAAGACCGAAAATTAGATGGGGGCGGAAGAACAGCTGAGTGTATCAGCAACAAACCATGGCGCAGCAGGCAAGCCCCGGGGATGAGCCTCTCCCTTCCCGAAAGGCTGACGGATCGTCTTCCCACTCCGCCTTTCGCGACGTGGTCTACATTTACCCACAACTTCCCTGCATTATTACTAATGCGAACACGAACTCCCTCGCCGACCTTGGAACGAGCATTCGTGTTGGCTACATGGGACTCAGCAATTTTCTCACTATCATACTATTTGAAAGCCCGGTCCTTAGATATACAGGTACACCTTGATGGTAGAGGGTCTAACGTACCCTGAGAACAGAACTTTCGTCCGACAGTCAGTATAATAACGAATTGCGCCCGACAGGCTTTACTCAGCCCAGCTGTCTAGCTCACTAGTACAATACACCAGTCGCTAACTGATGGGGCGGTTAGGCAGCCGCATTGTAATACGTGCACACAGAATTGTTTCTCCAAAATCGGAAGCAAGAAAAGTCCCTCGATCTGGCGTTCTCATGGTAGATACGCAATAGAGTATCCCAGAAAAGATGATGCTCAAGTTGAAAGGCCACAGTCCAACCATGCGCCCCACAATTCACCCCGGACCAATCTGCGGAGGACCTTTCCAGTTTAATCAAGAACTACAAGGCCATCGCCATTCCCAAGGCGCTTGCAGGCCTCTCCAAAGCACATTCGCCTAGTGGGAGATAAAAGTGTCTATGTTCGCTCCACGAACGTATCAAGGCTAATTTCAACGGAGGGGATCCCCGCAACAGCCTATCTCTCGGAGTAATCTTAATTGGTCGACGAGCATATCCGCATCGACTCGTAGTTCGAAATCCGCAAGGAAACAGAAACTGATTTCGAGCCTCGACAGTTCGCGCTCAGTCACACCCCCTACCTTAGCAACGCGGCTGTGGGGGTAGCTGAGGTCTTCCAAGGACTTCATCGCCACGCGAAGTCCAGCAAGCACCAGACGATGCATATTCTTCCGGCTGACGACTATCACCCGTTCAGTAGTCGCCATTCTCATGATGTACATGCTTGTAGCCAGATAAACACCTGTAGACATAGGGCAGAACTTGTGCATACGCAGCAAATACTCCTGCAGCGTGATCGGTGGCTGGCGTTTCGAAGAGAATCGTTTTGACAGCACACTCTGCTGTTTTAGGTGACGACCTGCTTCATCGTAGCTTTCTGTGGAGCGACATAACCCAGTGACCCTTATCGGCGTAGATTCCCCGCTAGATATACTGTCGCTGTGGACCAGGGGCCCGGGGACAGGAACGGCAGCTCCTCGGAAATAACCCACTTCTTCTGCTGACGATTCCACAAGCATTTCAATACCTGTGCACAGCAGTCCCAGTGCTACCGTAGGCGAGATCTGGAAGACATCAGTTGGATAGTTGGACTCCAATGTTGATTCATCTTCTTTCGGTGAGCGGATTGTATTAGTTGCCTCCGTAAGGCTCGCAACAGTCGACGGGCTCTCCTTGTTCATCGCGAGACCTTGTACGTTGTCGGGAAACCAAGGGTAATAATGCCACAGATGGCCCTGGACCTACAGGCGGATATTGACTTCCCCGATAGGTATCGCATGGTCGGGACACTGCCCAGCATGTAATTGATGCTGAAATATCTGCACCAGATTCGAATCGAATCGGCTGCGTAGTCGAGATAAAAGCCTGTAGCTAGAATTAAACACGGCGGTGCTTAATTTTCCTACTAGGGAGGAAACATCTGTGCGATCTGTCAGTGGGCGGCTATCAGTAAACATTCCTTTGGTTGCTCACTTTACCTATGTGACTGGGGTCGAGATCAGCTCACTAGCCGGTCAGTAGCAGCAGCAGACGACTTGAAAAAGCACAAAGAAAGGCCTGCCTGCTGAATCACTATACATAAACGGGGGAAAGTGATTGACTTCCAGGTGTACAGATTAACAGGGTGGAATGTGAAAGGCGAGGAATGGAGTTGGCCGGATATTAGTGCGCCCGATCTCAACCCAACCGTTTCTTTCGTTACCCTTATCAAAACAGGCAATCGATTTTGCTTCCATGCAGAGTGTGACATACTAGCTTCATTAAAACAAAGGAGCTCCGAATTTGCTAGCCAAGCGGCGCAAATACCCAAGTACATGCGTCTCTTACGATATTCATGAGCGGTTTGCCTCCTATCAAGCAACTATGACATTAAGGATATTTTCTAGTACCTACCACTCTCCCGCAGTACAAATACAGTGGCGCAATTATCTATAGTGCCTCCAGTAGACATGGCATCGCAAGAGCAGGCGTGAACAGCGTATCTTAATGTTCAGAATATGTACTTCAGGCCGCTCAGGGCTCAGTCGTCCACGGCCTTCGAACCCCACATCTCCACAAATTTCTCCTGCCCTCTATCTCTTCTATGAACCACGCTCATGTCGAGTCCCTCAAGCCCCTTCTGAACACCCTTCAAATCGTCTTCGAGATTAGAGAGCTTCCTCTGGTGGTCCAGATTCGCAAGTGAGGTCTCGAATTCAGAATCGGCGTGCAAGGAAGTGGAGAGAAGCTGGATCGCCCGGTCTGTCGGGAGTAACTCAGCCATGAGCGGCGAGTCTGCGGCAATACCATGGTCATTTAGGCTCTCAGTCAACTGATATCGTTTCTCCTTTAGATTATCTGCGCATTCACTGGCTTCGTCTGCATGGAGCACCGAATCCAAAGATAATCCTACTCGGCGTAACACTTTCGCTATTGATTGAGAATCATGGAGCCGATTGTCTTTTTGTGCTGAAGTAAAAACCGAAACGGGCTGTACAGAGGAACGTCTCAAAGACTCTCTCCTGTTAACAGGTGGGCCCAAGAAGATATCGCCAATCTCTGATCGGTGCGCAGCAGCGATAGCTTCCAGAGTTCCACAGTAAGACTCCCTGTCCTGCAGGCACTTGACAAGACCATTTGTAGACGATGTCATCTCCGATACTACGTCCAAAACCTGGACGGTGTCAGTGCGGCATATTGATGGGGAGGGGGAATCCGTCTCTTACATAGTCCAGCGTTTCATGTGAGGCATTTTGAAGCTCCTCGTGGTGACTGCTTAACTCGCCTATTATAGGTTCGGCGAACTGTTGTTTCGTGGACATCTCAGCTAGTATTTCAATTTCGGGATAGAGGGATTCAAGTTCTTCCTCCAGCGCAGCCAGCGGCTCATTCTCAGCGGGTGCTGGCTCAGTTCGCGCTATCATTAGTCCTGCCTGTATCGATTCCAGATATAACCGATCGAGTCGACACCTGATCTCATCGGCAAGGCATTGAGCAAGGGCAGTACATCTCTCCGAAGCTATCTTTGCACTGTTCTCATCTTGTTGACTTGTTTCTATCCCGGATGCCAGCCTCTCCAGGTTCGCGATCAACCTATCATCTTCCTTGAATCGAGCTGTCAGAGACGAGAGTATCCTCTTGGCGTCTGCTGAAGCTTGCTCAGATACGCCTCTCAACTCTGATTCCAATGCGTGAGCCAAGTCACTGGACTGCGTAATATACTCAGCAAAGCTCTGTGACTGAATCAAGAAAAGGAACCACTACCGCGGCAGCTATATTTTGTCTTTCTGACGTATGCTTCTGGCGCAATCGTGCATTGTCCCGATTTTGTCTGAGCCCCAGTTCGTCATCCGAGGTGATAGATCTGTTTAAGCTCTCGTACTGCGATGCTAGTGTTTTGGTCTGTCTTTGTATTGCAGCCGTGGAGGCGTTTAGTGTTTCAATCGCGCGTCGAAGGTCATCATCCACAAGCGGGCGAGTTGCTTTGAGATTAGGATTGGTGAAAAGGCTCTGCAAGGCACCGAACTCTTCAAGTTTCGAGTATCTAATAGTAACCAAAGCAATCAGTGACTGGGAAAGGTCCTTTGTGAAGCGGGATTGGAAATACAGTTTGAGCTCCTCTTGCGACAACAGTGTGTCGGTACTGAGATGCTCCGTCAGCCATTTTGCAATCTCAGTACCTTCTATCCTCTCAGCGAGGGCGGACTTGATTTGATCGCGATTAATCGAGAGTTCGCGATCTTTGAGAGCGGAGATAATGGTCGATGAGGGGTCCATTGAATGATTGCTGCGGTTGGGGTCGTGATGATGGTTTGTCGGCACTCCGCGCGGAATCTTCTGCTGCCGCCTCAGGACAACCTTAACAAATAATCCACTTCAGCCTCCCTCCCACTTTGGGGAATTGAACTCCATCACACTACTCAACAGCGCTAGATTATGATGCGTTCAACAAACAGTAATGATCAAATACAGACTGCCAGGTCTACTGAAGGCTCTGTCCATTCACCAATGTCTACCTCGTGAGTGAAGGGGAGTTTATAGAATACCCACTACTATCTATACATTACGATATCGGAACTGTTGATACACCGGTACCCACCCGAGCGGAGTCAGTCCATTTCGTCTCTCACGCCTCAGACTCACCCTCCGCCACAATCTGAGGGTAGTACCATGTAGTGACGGCGATAATAACATAGACCAGAACGCAGAGCCCCCCTTCCAGATAGTTGGACTTGCCATCTCGAAGGAAATTTCCAACAACTAGGATGGACAAAACGACCAAAACAATCATAAAGATCTCGAAATTTAGACCCATATCCTTGTCAATACCCCAGCCGACAATGACTGCGAGCGGCGCGTTCAACAGCGCAGTCTGGATCGAAGGACCCAGGCAATGAAAGAGTGCAAAATTGATCTGATTGTCCCTGTTTCAGGTCAGCAAGGAAGATTGGGCAGTCACCAACGGATGTAATTACCAAGCTTCATCAATAGCAGTCAAGTGCTCTGCTGCCTTCTCAACAAGTGGCACAAGAATAAGGCCCATAAAATTGTCAGATACACCTCTCTCATTCACAATATCCTCTATTTCCTCCACCAGGAAGACGGCCGACATGCAGACGCATGCGAGAGATATTGCAATAGCCACAAAGCATTCAATCAACGTAAGCTTGGCGCGCTTCATTTCCCGTTCACGATCTTCATCCAGATGCTCATCGAATTCAAGGACTTCGTCGAATATGCTATGATGGCTGTGGAGGTTGTAGAACAGATACCTAGGACATATGAGTAAATAGGAGTTATCGGCGTATTTTGGGAGACGACAACTTACATGATGAAAGCCACTAGGAGTATGACGGCCGTGGCTCTACTGATAATCAGTGTAGACTGATTCAGTGTTTCTGTCGAGATTTGTACATGTGTATGCGATGCATTGCTTTTTAAAGTCGAATAGAAAGCACTCGGGATCAGAAGGCCGAACCCTGCCACTAGAAGGAGTCCTGAGCCCACTTCGCTGACGGCCTCATGGAATGATTGATCTTCTCGCCCAATGCCTCCAAAGAAAAAGCATAGGCCTAAGCAGAGAAGGAGGTTTGCCAGGATCGAGCCTAGAATGGCGGCTTGGATGACAGGGATCAGATTGCCTCCCTTGTCCTTGTGGATCAAGACCATGAAAAGGACTATTTCCACGACAGAACTAAGAAACGTCTCCAGCAGGACGCCAAATACTTTGGGCAGCTTTTTGGCTAGCTCGCCACCCGCAAAGCCAAGCAAGTTCGCTGAAGGTACCATTGCGATATAGTTGAGGGCAAATACCCAAACATGAAGATCCGGTCGAGCGAAGTGAAGTGCAATCGCAGCTGGGACGAAAGGCCAGAGAACGTTCACCAGCATGGAGAGAGTGCAGGTACTCCGAAAACAAACGCGCAGGAAATGAAGTGGATGGACGCCAGTTCTCCCACTTTCTCCAGCAGTATCGATTCGAAACAGACTATGGTGCCGTCGGTGTCCTTTCTCATTGTGAGTCGGTAGTATTGTACCGCTCTGCGACTTCGAAGCCGATCGCGTAGCATCCGGTGTCAAAATTCCATCATGTTGTGAAGGATCTCCTTTCTGAGAAGATCGTGACCTCCGTCTGCCACCATCCATGTTGGAGGCCATTGTCTGGGGGGAATGCAAAGTTGGTTGACTCGATGATCGGCCAGAATCAAGCTCTTACTGGTCGGACACTGGCTTCTATAAGGTATGTTTGGAGAGCAAGGTAGACAAATCCCTCAATGAAACCAATAGTGAGATAAAGCAAAGCTGGGTTATCCCGGCATACATGCTCGAGTAAGCTCAGGCACACATGGGCATAGTCAGAGGGAGACTTGAGGCCCAAAGCCAAGGATAGACGAAAGAGAACGGGAGTAGAGGACAAGCAAGATAGTGCATGGACACCGGAGATTATGTACGGGGGATAATAACTGTGGATCTATAGCATTAGAAGAAAGAGAAAAAAAAAATATGAATAACAGGAGTTTCAGCTGAATATGCTTGGCTTTGCAGATGTGGCAGACGAGTGTCATTGTGTACTATTCCTTTAGTAGAAAGTGAAAGACACGAGGGGAATTTCTGGGGCTGGGACTGTCTGCATGAAGGAAAAGTTAATATGTAGGCCAGACCACCTTCAGCGAACATCATACATATTCAATTTCCCGCTAATCATGATCGCAATTATTCTGGAGATCTTGATCCATGCAAGCAGTGCAACCAAGATTTTACACAGTATGGCAGATGGGCAGTATTGTGTGCCAGTTTTTGCGGACAGCCATCCTTCGGACTTCTACAGACACACTGGACGGTATTTCGCTGCACATCACCAGAGTGCATCTGCGATGACAGACACTCAGGAGAATTGGGTCCCTTCAGCTGAGGCGATCCCCGAGTTCCTTAGTTTACCCTTGGGTTGTCCAAGTTCGAAACATTGTGCCCACGCTGTGGTCTTGGCGAGCCTATGAGCATCGGAGTGTGGCCTCTGGATGGAGCCGTGGCGCTTCGGCAGGTGAGCTGTTAAAGGCTCACCCAGAAAAAAAAATAAGCTGTCAACAGACCCGTCAGCTGCTGGGTGATTATCATCCCGCTGTAAGCTCCAGAGCATTATTTGCTCCTAATCTGTCGGATATGGCCGGTGTCTCCCGTGTTAGTTATACATAATATAGAGTATGTATTAGGAGAGATCTGCTGTATCCTCTGACAACGCGGTTGTCTCAAGCATGCTGGCTTAGATGACCTTGGGCTCTGTATCGTAAGGAGGGGCCGGTTCACGCATTGTCGATACCGGATACACAGCCACGATTGACTCGCGTCGAATCCTGCAGCTCGCCTCCTCCAGGTGGGGACTCACCGAAGGTTGAGAGCAAGCGGTAAACATGGCCTAGCTTGGCGGGCTCCCGCAAACTTCCCGGCAGTTGGCTGGCTTGACAAAATGTCTCGAGTCTCGACACAGCTTATTTCCTCCTTTTCGAAATCTATAACCGTGCATTCACTTAGCACACAACGATATAGATAGTAGTAAACACTAAACCCTATCTTACTTACAACTATTCAATTGATGTGGATGCAAGTATCAATGGGATGGAGGATGCAGTGGAAGGACTCATCGCGATTTAAAAGCAAATATATTATGAGTACTGTAGTAGTACTCCGTGTAAGTACGTAGAGTAAAAGAGTGGAACCTAGAACAGACCCCAGCATTGAACCGGAAATGCGACAAAAGGCAAATTAAACAATTAAACAGGACTCCGCCGTCCTGGATCAGGGGCCCAGCTATGACCCGCGGCCCTTAACCCAAGTATCCTAAGTGATGACATTGTTAGTGCCTGCCACACAGCAGTCGCTCCGAATGTCCTCTTTCCTGCTCTCTTACGTACTTACTCTCTATTTCGATCACTGACAGCAAAATAAGAATATAGGCTAATGCAATGCCTATCTTCCACATGGAATTAGGTATTGAGAGAACTTCCCCGCAGATAGAAGACGTCATTTTTATTCGTCAGTACTTACCTTCTTCGGGACTGAAGGTACTATGCTACTGCTGGTTGTAAGGAAAGAATGTCAAAATGCCGTTTAGTATTCCATCACCGATGTTGTATTCAAGGCTTACCCATACACATCTCTATCTACTAAAATTAGTTGACAGGGGTCAGTCCTGCTGATCTGATCTACGTAGATACTCTATATCCAAAGTACGTAAGTACAAAGTAGGGACTTGTCGTCATGTGGTGCCCATTGGAGTACCTTATTTTCTTCCGGGATCTGCTAACTACTAGTCTAGTATGTGATTATGGTTCTAGGTACTAAGTAGATATTCTGTACATGGTACTTACATGAAGGGTGTGTTTTCTGATTGGTGGTGCGTGTAAATACCCACCTTGCCTCCACCAAGTTGTGGAAGAAATGGAAGAAGCTAAATTCCATGAGATGAGGGAGATCGCCCGTTATCAATAATCCTTCTGTGTCAAGTGAACAATTGCCATACTCCAAGCCTCTAATGACGACAACTCCTAATTATGACATTATCTCATGTAGCCCAACTACTTTACTAACTAACTTTACATGTCAGACCATGCAGCGATCACGTGGTGCTTATGCAGGAATTTCGTGAACTCGAGCGATATGGCGAATGCGGTTGGGTGGCACTGGCACATCGTAAACGGCTACCGTCGGGAGGGGTATACCACCAATCTGTTACGAGATTTTTTGCCTTGCCAAATTTTTTTTCTTTTTTCTTGTCTCATTTCCTCACTTCTGATACCCCTAATATAGTCGCACACGGCCCTCAATTGCTCTTCATAACTCCTCTTCCTCACGGTTAACCCAGTTTACGAAAATCAGCTCTCTCCGATACCTACCATGTCCACGAAAACCACCCCGGCCGGTCCTCCGGTGGCCCTTGATACCATTACCCAGAATATCGGCAATACCCCGTTGGTTAAGCTAAACAGGATTCCGCGCAGCTTGGGAATCGAAGCCACCGTCTACGCCAAATGTGAATATTTCAATGCCGGCGGGAGCGTGAAGGATCGCATCGCTTTGCGCATGATTGAAGAAGCGGAACGATCTGGGCGCATAAAGCCTGGCGATACTTTGATCGAACCTACTAGCGGTAACACGTAGGTCCCGTTGCGCAAATCACGCAGATGTTCTCAAAGCAGATGTTCTAACTCGTATAATTTCCCTATCACTAGTGGTATCGGTCTAGCTCTTGTTGCGGCCGTCAAGGGTTAGTTGATTCAGAATCTCTAAATTGGGATCTTTTGGGCTAATAATCTTCCCGGAGTATGCAGGCTACAAGACTATCATAACTCTGCCTGAAAAAATGTCCGCTGAGAAAGTATCCGTATTGCGTGCCTTGAACGCTACTATCATCCGTACTCCCAACGAAGCGGCTTTCGACTCCCCGGAATCTCACATCGGCGTCGCAAAGCGCTTGGAGAAAGAGCTTCCCAATGCGCACATTCTGGACCAGTATGGGAACGTGAACAATCCCCTTGCCCACGAGTTTGGAACCGCAGAGGAAATCTGGACTCAGACAGAAGGTCGGATTAGTGCGGTTGTCGCCGGTGCTGGCACTGGTGGAACGATTACTGGTATCTCGCGCGGCCTCAAGAAGCACAACCCCGATATCCAAGTCATTGCAGCAGACCCCCATGGATCTATCTTGGCACTTCCTGCTGCGCTGAACGAGGAGCATGTGAACGAGCCTTACAAGGTCGAGGGTATCGGATATGATTTCATCCCCGAGGTCTTGGATCGCCAGGCAGTTGACAAGTGGTACAAGACCGCCGACAAAGAGTCGTTCCAATACTCTCGGCGGCTAATCGCCGAGGAAGGTCTTCTTGTTGGTGGAAGCAGTGGAAGTGCCATCTCCGCTTTGGCGCAAGCCGCGAAGGATAACAGATTCAAGAAGGATGACGTGGTTGTCGTCGTCCTGCCCGACAGCATCAGAAGTTATCTTACCAAAGTAAGTCTTCATGTACTCTTAGGCTGTTTTTGATGAGTCCTCTAACCTAGTACAGTTTGCCGATGACGACTGGCTCGCTGCGAATGGTCTTCTGTCATCGACCCCTGAACCCACATCCTTCCCGGCGTTACAGCCACAGGCGAAGAGCGATGCCTTCGCCGGCTCACAGGTCAAGGCCCTGAGACTGAAGCCCATCACAACAGTCCGATCCAACATCCCCTGTGAAATTGCCATTGAAATGATGCGCGACAGAGGTTTCGACCAACTTCCCGTTCTTGCTCCTTCCGGCAAGAAGCTTGTTGGACTGCTTACCCTTGGAAATGTTCTCAGCCGGCTGACCCATGGACGTGCTACCGGGAAGAGCCCGGTTGCTGATGTTATGTTCGATTTCAGCAGGATTCCGGAAATTGTCACCGATCCCAGAGATATGGGGCTTGCCAGCTCGCAGGCCGGCCAGAACGGTAGTGCTAACGCGAAGCCCCATATCAGAGACCGGAAATTTGTGGAGATCACCATGGATACGCCTTTGAGCGTTCTCAACCGGTTCCTTGAATGGAACAGCGCGGCTGTTGTTACTGAGCGAGACGACCAAGGTGCCATGAAGCCGGTTGCGGTGGCGACCAAGGTCGATCTCCTCACTTGGATGCTTCACAACGACAACAATGGCACCTCGGGTAATTAAGATTATAATATTCTAGCGAATTGCAACTTGAATTTTCAACCGGTATGCTATAATCTGGAGAGTATCAACTATATCTCCAATTTCTTTTTTGGGGGGCGGATGCCCTCCGGCACACAGTTCTCGAGTCATCCAGTCATATAACGAAGGCTATGCCATGGGCGGTAGTATGGAGTTAATTGGAACAAAGCTAGATAGTTCAGGTCAAGCGAGCAATCAAACACTACCATTAAGTTGGCGCATCTTGACATGTGTTCAGGACTGACGTATATAACAGAGACCCAGAATGACGTCTCCGGTCCACTGTTCTGTAACTCAAATCACCGGTTTCGATATTAAATAGCAATAAATCCAAATTATACTCCCAAAGGATGGCCAGCAATGGATATCCCTCTTAATTATACATCGTCTCTTCCTTCGGATACTGCTAGACATTCATAATGACAGGAATATTCACCTATAGAGAATTCTCCTTACGGGACACACCACCGTTGGATGGGAAGGTGGCTTTGGTAACAGTATGTCTACTATTCGTTTACCGAAATATGTATAAAAGACTTGCAGTATAGCCGAGAAATCAAAATATTATAATCCTGCAGAAGGCTATCGCTAACATGACAACTAACAGGGTGGTCACGGAGGCATAGGAAGAGGTAACCAACTCTTCTCTACCCTACTAGTTATCGCTGCAATTTCGTCTCTCCTTCCACGCCGAGTCTTGGATCAGCTTTCCTAATTGAATGATGTTATATCAGAGATCACCGCCCAGCTTCTTATTCATAATATAGACAGAGCCTTGGTCCTCGGTCGAAACAGTGACAAATTTCTAGCAGCCAAAGAAGAATGGCAACGTCGTCATATCAACCTAGGCAAGGACGACAAAAGAGTCATTTTCGTCCAATGTGATTTGGGTGATATCTTCGCTGTGAAGGAAGCAGCTGATCAGGTCAGAAGTATAACAGAACGACTAGATATCCTTATTTGCAATGGCGGTATGACATGATACCTTCTTCTATACCACCCCCTTTCACTATTATACTACGTATTACGAACTAGGGTAATAGTCGATTAATTCAGAACAAATTCTATAGGCCTTGGTGTCACAACCAATTACGAACGATCACCCCAGGGAGTGGAAATGGTCTTTGCGGCAAACTGCGTTGGCCATCAGGAATTGGTCACCCTGCTCCTACCACTTCTGAAACGCACAGCAAACCAGCATAGTGAATCCAGAGAAGCCCGGATTGTTGTCACTAGTTCCTCGCTGCACTCGGTATGCCGTACCTTGGACTTTAACCAGCTTACCACGCCTGCACGTGTGATGCCTATGCATCCGTATATTGATGGCTTCTGGCGTTATTGTCGTTCCAAGTTGGGAAACATTCTCTTTACGAGAGAACTCGCTCGTCGAATTGAGCAAGAAGGCCCTAACAATATCTACGTGAATGTTTTCTTCCCTGGGAACATTGTCACAGAGCAATGGAAAGCCTGGGACGAGTATGTAGGAACTACTCTCGGTGCAGTTTTTCGTTATGTCTTTTCAATCATTGGGCAAAGTACACAAGACGGCGCCGCCACCGCCGTCTATCTGGCTACAAGTGATCGGATTCGTGTTGATGGGATTCGCGGCCAATACTACATTCCTATTGCCAAGCCAGACGCAACGACTGACATTGGTAATGACCCGGTTCTCGCCCGCGACCTTTGGGTACGTATTCTTACGTTCTACCCTCTCTGACCCTGCCTCTTCTCCTCGCGTTTCTGATTGCGTACAGAATTGGATAGATACCAAGGTGACAGAGCATCTGGGCCTTCATTGGCAACAAGAGACCTGATAGCAGCTGCTCCGAAATGTATCCGTCAGAATTAATACGGTCATCGAACCTTTTTGGCTGAATTCCAGGTATATCGTGATAGTTAGTGTTCCACTTTCTGCTCATGATGATCGTTCCGGCGCATAGGGCTTATATGGACTGTCTGGATTGTGTGTAGGAGTTATGCAATTTTTCAAGATATATCTCGTATCGTTTCATCCCATCTCTAGGGCCAGTGCACTGTCACTGGCCCAAGTAATATACGAACATCCAGTTCAGAGGCGTTGGCCAATCCATTCCTCCCACTTTCTGACGCCGGCCCCGAGGTTGCCCTCCTCATCACTCTTGACTGCGCCACCGACAATGTCCACAGTCAAACCGATTTCATCTTCTAGGCTTCGGAAGGTGAACTTGATCCGAGTGTCAGTACTTCCCAGGATATCGTCTTCGCCCTCATCAACTCCAGCGTCAGCGCTAGCATCCATGAGACCTTTGCTCTTGGACTTCCGGATTCTGTCAATCTCAGCCTCCAGCTTTTCACGCACCGACCCTGGAGGCAAGGCAGTGAAGAGATCTTGCTTGTTGGCCACCAAGAGAACGGGAATCTCCGAGGCTGCTTTCGCGGAGTTCTTGCCCTTTTTAAGGGCTCGGTTCTGGAGGGCTAAAAGCACATCATACAGATATGAAGCTGTGTCTCGCAAAGTCTCAGCCTCGACAAGAGCAGCCGTATCGATCATAAAGAGGACTCCACGCAACTTGGACTTTACATCCTTGGACGTTGCCATTGACAGCAATGTCGCGAGTCCCTGAGATCCCCGCAGTTTTCCATGGCCCGGAGTATCCCACACGCGGTACTTGACAGGGTTCTTGGAGATATCCTTCAGGGAGGTGTCATTGACAGAGCGGTAGCGGTTCGAAGCGGTCTGGATGGAGGCGGGAAGGCTGATGGTAGCTACAGTAGACGTTTGCGAGGTATGTGTGAGCCGAGAGTCTTTGGGAGGAACACGTGACGATTTAGACTCAAGCTATTGTAGACGAAAGAAGACCGTTAGCACAAGCTACAACTTGGGCAGGAGGGGTGGAGAGAGGAATGCACAAAGCAAGGCCAAGTTAGATTGAACATACCAGGCTTAAGAGAGCGGTCTTGCCAGCCCCACTGGGACCAAGGAGTAGGAAATTGCTGGAGGGTGGAGAAGCAACTGTTCGGTAGAAGATCAGGTGCAGCAGAATAGGTAGTCCGAATGCAATGAAGACTGTGACTGCAATTGCAATGGGGCTGCCGTCAAGCAGACTGGTAGCTATTCCCTCAAGGGTCTTCCAGTTCGCATGAGATTGCATCTTTCACAGATGCTCACGTGAAGCACGGGGGACTGATGCAAAGGGGTTCTTAACTTATCCGGTGAGTAGTGAAAAGGGATTGATTGTGTAGGGCATGAGCAGGTCGAGCTCCGCAGTATGTATTCAAGAAGCTACCAATCCGCAAGCGCAGAACTTCTTGTCCCTCGTCTTCCCCAAGTCTGGTTAGGGCAACAATTCTGACGCAGCCAATTAGTAAACCAAAGCCTAGGAGCTGTGATCCTGTCCAGAAATTGGCTGACGTCCAAGTTGTTGCTTGTTGGTTGCTGGAAATTGCAGCGGTGACAACGAAACCAGCAAGCGGGTGGGCCAGACGGATCATGCCACCTTCGGAGCGGGATTCTGGCCGAAGCTGGTGCTTGCCTTGATGCCGTGATGCCTTAATGCCTGGTTCATGGCCCGTGCGTTATAGTTCCCGACTAGGACATACAGGTATATACTTCGGTAGCACAGCAGGCGTCCCAGCATGCCGTTGATTGCAGGGGGTGACGGCAGGGTGTCAACAGACATCTCTGGCCATCTTCCTTCTTTTAATTTACTTATCCACGCTCGCTTTTTCTGGCATCTGTGTTTCTTTTTTCTCCCCTCTTTCTCGCTCTTCCCATGATGAGACTCGCGCGCCCAGTAGTATACTTTGCGCTATCGTTTCTCCCAACTGCTTTCGCAGATATCGAGTTCATCGAACCAACAGCCGGTGCGGTCATCAGAGCTGGGGATGTGGTTACTGCTCACTGGAGGGACTCTGGCGCATTACCTCGACTTGCTTCCCTCGTACAGTATGACCTCTATCTTTGTGCAGGCGGAGACACAGCAGGATCCAATGTGCGTGCTCTATCAATGTTCTCGCCCCTGGTTCGAACTCTACTAATACCCAGATCTTCGATACAGGAGGATGTAGCTCTCCTCGTCAAAGACGCGCTCTTTACCAGGGGCAATTCAGTCTCATTCAATATTGATCCCGAGGTTGGCGGCAATGATGCGAACGCATAGTAAGCCCTCCTCCAATGCTTCCCTGAAACACGACAGAGGGTTTCGATCTTACTGCTGACGATTGCATCTCGTGCAGCTTTCTTAGGATTGCCGCTTCTGGTCCTGAAACCTCTGTTGTCAACTACTCGGATCGCTTCACCCTCACGAACATGACTGGCTCATTCTCACCGACTGTCCTAAATGGACTTCATTCGGCCATGCACCCTACAGACTCCTTCCCTTCGAGCCTTGAGGATGACAATCACGAAGAACTACGAAAGAGACAGGTGGCTGGGCCCTTCACGATTCCCTATCAGTTGCAGACTGGACCTACAAGATACGCACCCATGGCCAAGAAGCCTGGAAGTACAATTCCGCCGGGAACACCAACACCCCAATATCCAACGAGCGCGTATTCCGTTGCTACAACTTATCTACCTCAGGCTACCGTTCAGATGACACTGTCCGCCTCAGAAACATACTCCGTCGTTAGCATTGAAAATACAGTAAGTATAACGTAGCTGGGTCTTGTCAATAGCGATTCTGTTTTCTCTTCTCAAGGTTTGCGAAACTGGGCTAATGGCACTCACTTCCACAGGCTTCTCCTGCACCACATGCCGGAGATACTAAAATGAAGCGGTTTTTGGAAAGATGGAAAGATTGAGGCGTATGACGATTCTGGCTTGTAAGGTCTGGACTGTCAATACTTGTTGCTCGATCACCCCATGGCTTCCTCCGCACTTAGTACGCTCCCTGTCCTATGCCTCAATATTTCTATATTTTGATGGCTTGTATGTGGCGTTTCCGGACTGGCAGACTGGAGCTCGGGAATACGAGTTATACCTAACTCCAGGCATTTCCCAGCTATGTATGTTTACAGCAAAGTGGTTACTATATTGGTCAACGCTGGCCTCTTGAAGTTTATCGGAATCACCAAGCCTACTACATATACCATAATGTATGTTTAAATTCTTCGAAAATAAGCAAAGCTCTAGTCTCTTCCATTGTTAGCCTATACTTTTGTTATATGCAATTCTAATTATATAGTTGACTGTTACTCATCGATCGTTCCTTCTCCTTCTCAAGATAGCAGAATGTTAGAAGCATTTGCGTTTCAGTGACGTGGACTATCGTTATTTTGTGTGAAAGAGATGTTTTCTCGAAGAGCCACATATTCACTATCTGCATAACCAAGTAGTGACTGAATATGTGTGCTTCTCTGGCCCTTGATGCGGATGATTTCACTGCTGCCGTAATTGACTAGGGCACGCCCAACTTCCTTCGGCTCCTGGCCATGATGAAGGAACTCCCCGTTCAAAGCGTCTGGAGAGATCTTCTCTACCACAACCAGGCGCACTGCTTCCTGTTGGCCAAAATGTCCTTCCACCCCTAAAACACCTGCCGGAAGCAAGCCAGCCTTTTTCTGGAGAGCACTATAAGCGCCATGATCAATATATAGTGTACCTCGAGGTTTCAGGCCATGAAGAAGCCAGAAAGACCGAGACTGAATCGGGGTTTCCGAGGGAATGAATCGAGTGTGTAGTGGGGGCGGAGTGGGCAAGTCTGGCGAGCCTGAAGACTCTTCGGACCCCAGGTCAAGTTGCTCCGTTTGCTGAAGGTATCTGACAATTTCATGAACATTACCCGGTTTGGAGCTTTTGGTGATGATTGTGGTCACGCCCGCACTGGTTCCCAACTTGGCAGCGACGATCTTGGTACTCATGCCTCCTGTCCCTAAAGAGGATCCGGCAGACGAAACATCAGCCTCCAAAGATGAAATATCCGTGACGACCTCGATAGGCTTCGCATCCGGGTTGTGGCGTGGGTTAGCCGTGTATAGACAGTCGACATCCGTCATTAAGAAGAGGTAGTCGGCTTTGACCATAGCTGCTGTTATTGCCGACAGTGTGTCGTTGTCACCGAATTTGATTTCCTAGTTTAAAGTAAGCTTTTGCTTTTCTTTTTCGCTTCATAGAACAACTAGCGGAAGCATACCGAGACTGCGAGAGTGTCGTTTTCATTGACGATGGGAATCACACCCATGTCAAATAACTGTGCGAAGGTATTTTGAGCGTTGAGATATTGTGTCCTCTGTACCGGTGTCAGATGTGAAACGTAACTCCAGGAACCAGAATGAACACTTACATCCGCAATGTCGTTCCTGGTCAACAAGATCTGTGCGACGGGGAGACGGAGATGCGAGAAAAGACCGTCCCAAAGACTCATCAGTCTGCATTGGCCAACCGCTGCCAAAGCCTAAAGTTCATAAATCAGCTCCTGGATATCTGGCGATCCGTAGCATTGTGTGTCTTATTACCTGTATACGGGGCAAGTGTTTGGGCCTCTCTTCGATATCCATTCTCCGTAGACCGACGCCGACAGCTCCGGATGAAACGAGCACGACATTATGTCCGTCGCGATGAAGTTTGGCGGCAGTTTCCACAATCAAGGTCAATATCGACAGTATAGGCTCATGGGTGTTCTCGTCCACGATGGAACTCGTCCCTGTTTGTAACCAGAATGAATGTTAGCGAATCTGTAACAGTAAATGCCCGGGCTTGTAGTTGGATACCCCGCACCTAGCTTGATGACGATCGTGAGAGGTTTGGAAGCCATTGTGAAGTGAAGTTGGAGTTGATTAATCAGGAATCTTGTTCACACTATCACCCATCTGATGGCGACACTGGCAATTGGCGGTATCCGACCTCCCTCCCAGACGCGACGATGTCAGACAGGCTGCGCTAGTCTTTGTAGCTCGATCGGGCATCCCATTTGCCGTGTGTGATTTTCCGGGGAATATCTATTTTTTGCCAGGCACATCTTTCACCGCCAATGCGGAGAGCTGATGGCGGAATCGGCATGGACGATCTTTCCGCAGCGCTTCTTCCGTATCCAGTTCACTGCGCTGGCTTCTCGACCTTGTATTTTTAGGCGAAATGTCGGCTTCAGAGTCTTCCAATACCGGTTCGAAACCCGGTAATCAGGATACGGGCTACACACCGGGAGACGATACCTGGACGCAATGGCGCAATATCTTCTCCATCCTAGCAGGGCGAATGACAGATGAAGGGAAAGAACAATTCCGTGTTGCTCGAGATATCCGGAATGAGGCCGCCGATTGTAAACGTTGCGAAGATCAGCGCGATTATCTTTTACAGTTCAGTGAGTTATTTCCCTTTGCCCCTTCGCGGATTCCCAGGGCTTGGGTACTTAGTCAGGGTTACAGCTAATCCAAGGAATCACAAGGTCCCATAATCCGATTCATGAGTGACAGCATTCGACAGCTTGGGGGAGACCTTCATAGCCATAATATTTATTGTCGCCGATGTACCAATCGAAAAGCTGGAGGCTTCGACCCCGATTATGGTATTTTAATTTGCGCGAACGAGATGAAGGACCAGGGACATCTGGAGGATACAATGGCTCATGAAATGGTCCATGCCTACGATCACCTCAGATTTAAAGTTGACTGGATGGACAATCTGCGGCACGCAGCTTGTACCGAGGTATTTACTCTCCTAAGATCATAATCACCTGAAATTGGCAGCCATTGGCTGATGCAAAAGGCAGATTCGAGCCAGCTCCCTCAGCGGTGAATGTCGGTGGGCGCGCGAGTTCTTCCGGAGGGGCCAGTGGAAGTTTACACAGCAGCATCAAGAGTGTGTTAGAAGAAGAGCTATCCTGTCTGTGCGAGCAAGGCCAACATGCAAGGATGAAGCCCATGCAGAGAAGGTTGTAAATGAAGTATGGGACAGCTGTTTTAGAGACACCCGACCGTTCGACGAGATCTACCGATGATACTACTATTTTTCGAGCGCTGCAGTCCTGCGATAAAGGCCACTCATGTGTATATAGTATTTGTTACGCCACCTGCAAAGATATATCATTAAATAATAGAGCCAAAGGACCGGACGCCGCAAAAAGCAGATAATTATGGAACTCCAGCATGCTCAACGCACTCCGCACGAAACCCAATCACAAGAAGGCCACTGGTTGAAGTGGCAGAGAAGACCACACGTCTCAACACCAAAGCGCCATGAATGCATAAGTATTACGTTATTGTTTGGTATCCTTTGACGAAGCAGAACCAGAACTGCGCTTCACGGTTCGCTCATCCTTAACACAGTGTTTAAGGATCCAGGGATGCCGCTGGATTTCATCAAGAGAGATTCGCTTCTCAGGATCGAGAACAAGGAGCTAGAAAGCATTAGCAATTACTCCATAAGGGGCGGCTGGGCATCACATACCCGTTTGATAAGATCCCTTGCCTCAGGGCTCACGAATGATGGAACCGACATATCCGCTCTTGCAATCCGCCTCTGTGTCATAACAGGGGTATCCTCAAAGGGAGCTTCTCCAACAAGAAACTCGTAGGTTAAGACACCCAAGCTCCACAGATCGACTTTCTCATTGTAGTAATTGTCCTGTGAGCCCGGCTTGAGCATCTCGGGAGGCAGGTAATCCAGTGTTCCACACATTGTTTGCCTCCGGTTGTTGGGTGCATGTACACTCCATCCAAAGTCACTTATTTTGATTTCCCCGTGGATGCCGACTAGGATATTTTCGGGTTTAATATCACGATGCATGACATGCTTCTTGTGGAGGTATTTCAAAGCAGCAGCCATTTGGGCGATGTACTGAGCAGCTTTCCATTCAGGAAATCGATGTTCCTTGCGAAGGTGTTTATATAACTCTCCCCGACCGGCAAATTCAAGAATCAGAAAGATCCGTTTGCTGTCATGGAAGTGCCCATAAAGCCTTAGAACATTCGGATGACGAAGATTGCTCTGAATCTCGATTTCCCGGCGGACTTGCTTCTGCACTCCACCCTGCTGCAACTCAGATTTGTGCAAGACTTTGAGTGCACATACAAAACCAGAGGACCGCTCTTTGGCCAGGTACACCCTACCAAACTTTCCTTTTCCTAAGGGTTTTCCGATCTCAAACATTCCAAGGTGCAGTTTCTTGGGTGCCGGTTGCTCATATAGCGGGTTTGGGTGTCGTTGTTCTCCATTCTCATCTAGGTTGCGACTCGGTAAAGTGTTCTGGGAGCCCTTTGTAGGGGACTGAGCAACGTTCATGGCATTGACTTTGTTGTCATTGGTATTTTGAAGAGCCAGCTTCAGCAGGTTGGATCGATTGGAGCCGCTATATTGCCCTGCAGCTCCAAGGCCCGAAAGAGACATGGCTGTTGATAGGGAGCTCTGATGTACGGCATTAACAGGCCATGTACTATACAAGGCGTACTCCAGGACTCATACCTTAGGTTTCGGGTAGCCGCCGCCATTGTGTCCGCTGTCGTTTTCGTCTTTGACGGAAAGGCGCTCGAGGCGCGCTTCCAATGTCTTGGAGGCCATGGAGAAAAATGTAAATGACAGTGATTGGCGACGGGAAAAGAGCTAAACGAGGTTTGCAGGCAATTATCAGGACTATCGTGCCTTACAAAGTCATAGTCAGGCCCTAGAGAGTCTATAGAGGAGAAAGCAGTCTAGATGACGAGCTGGAAGAGGATAATGGAGAACGAGTGAGTAGATAAATAAGGTTGGGGAGAACTGGCAGCTCTCTAGCGACGCTCGGATGTTTATCCGGTTTGGTTCCCAGACACATCACCCCAGCAACAGTTCGGACCGCCTCTTTCTCCGACACCGCGGGGTATGATCTATC